TTAGGGTCAATATTGGAAACGCAAAATTAGCCCATTTAGAACATGATCTCAATTTAATTGATAATGAATATAATTGGACTTTATCTATATTCTTTTTGTAAGCTTTTATTATTATTATTATTTTTAATAAAATGAACTGGCATTTCACAATTGGATCTTTGTCTCTTTACTTTGTAGAGGCTATATAATATTTGAAGTGCCAACTAACATTATTTCAATCAAGATCAAACCTTCAATTTGGCGTTAGTTATATTTATTTATTTGTATAATTACTTAGTAAAGTGGTATCTATTCTCATCGCCAATTTCTTTTTATAGTCTCAACACTCATAATCGCATGGGGTTTCATAGTAGTAGCCATGGCATTTGTAAGTATTAAAGATACATTAATTCATGTAGTAATTTGTCTTTATTGATCGACAAATATAATTAGTTCTGGACACAATTCTATGCATTTGTCTAGTTTATTTTAATCAATTCGCAATTTAATATATGTTATGAATTATTTTTCAAAGGTAAAAAATTATTCTCAATTGATGGCTACAAGATTTTTATTAGGTGTTTTTCAATCTGGTCTTTATTCTGGTATTATATTTTATCTTACTAAATGGTACAAGAAATCTGAACGAAGCTATCGACTTAGCTTATTTATTGCTGGATCCATAATTGCTGGTGCATTTAGTGGTCTTGTGGCATTTTCGATCACAAATTTGAATGGTAAATTTGGTTTGAATGGTTGGCAATGGGTAAATATTCATATATATTTCTTGTTTATTTCATAACATTTTTCATTCTTTTTTTTTCTTTTGTTATTGCACCATGTCTTTTTTAATCTTAGATATTTCTTATTGAAGGAGCGATTACAGTTATATTTGCATTTTGTTGTTACTTTTTAATCTCTGATTATGCGGAAACCACTACTTGGCTTACGGATGACGAACGAAAGCTGGCCGTTGAAAGATTACGACTTGATACGGGACATGCCCATAATACTCATTTTGATAAGCATCAGATTATTTTGGCCTTTAAAGATTTGGTAATGTTTATAAAAAAAAAGATATATTCATTCTTAATCTATATAAACTAACCCTATTTAATTTATATTATTATTTAGAAAATCTATATATTTATGTTTATAAACTCCTGTTTGCTTGTTACTATGTACTCCTTCTCTTTTTTCATTCCAACGATCGTGAATGGTATAGGATTTGATGTTGGTAATATTCATTTAACTTTATTTCTTGTTTATATCGTGAATCAATACGTAATTATTCTTTTACCTGACTATTTTTTTATTAGTTACATCTCAACTTCTTTCCACTCCTCCATATATTCTTGGGTGTATTTCATCTCTTATAGTAGCAAAATTATCTGATCGTC